TAGACCTTGGGCAGCGCCACATATACCAGAGGCAGCGCCACATCAGCATGCCTGGCGGACAATGCCAGCGTCGCCTCTCCCTCGTGTCGACGTCCGCAGCTCTAATGCACAGCCAGCGTCCAGCCAGCGTCGCGCTAGCATAATGCCAACGTCAAGTCAAAGTCAAGCCAGCGTTGAATCAGCATAGCAAGACTGGATGCTGACCACCTCGAGGCCAGTCTTTAAGTAGCATTTGTCGAGGCTCTCTGGACTCAGGTCTTCTTCCCTCAGTCGTCCAGATTGAGTCACAGCCGAAGGCCTGGATCGTACAGTTGCAGATTTTCCCCTTGGACCTTATGCTGTTTGGGTACCTGCATACAAACAAGTGTGTGTGCTTGACCGGTGGACTGGATACCTTTGGACCTTGACTGTTGGGGTCGCGACAGTTGACAAAAGTCAATTGTGGCACGCCCAGGCCCTGAATCCCTGTGTGGGGGTCCCTTACCTCGTTTTTGGCCTGGCTGAGGTCGGCCAGGTCGGCCCTCAGATTTCTACGAGACATATGGCATGGGTTGTTGCATTCCTGCCGTCCCAATTTTCGAGTTCCATCGCAGAGAATATAACAATTTCTATCCTAACCCACGTTCATATGCAGCAACAATGTCTGGAGCAGTGGTTAAAAGTTATTTCCTACTAAACCATCTAGCTTCAGATGGAGGTTGGGATTTGAACTTTACCTTGTACTGCTTCTGAGGTCGTCCTCTGCCACCTGTAGAGAAATAGGCATGTTCCAATATCTTCTCAACTTCGTAGTTCCCATTCATAGATGGTGGAAACATGGATGGCCTATTAGGAAAGTTGTCACTTTCTACGTAGGGTAGCAGTTTAGACGCATGAAAGACAGGGTACGTCCTTAGGTGTGGAGGTATGTCAATGCGATAGGATGGTCCGTCTGCATCTCCAATCACCTTGAGAACTTCCCAGGGTCCAAAGTAGACAGGCAGCAGTTTCTGAGATAAATTCTCTTCTAAGGAAAACTCTTTAGACTTAACCCAAACAAAATCTCCCTCTTGAAACTGTGAAGGTCGACGATGCTTATTAGCATGTTCAATCATTTGTAATTGGGCCTTTTGTATGTTTTTTACCTTTTTAATGTCTTCTTCATATAAAACTGCAAACTCACGTGTACCCGGGGGTAGCCTCTGAATCTGGTCTCTGGTCAGGACGTCAATGGGACGCCGAGGCTTCCAACCCTTATGCAGTGCATTCGGTGTTCTACTTGTAATAGTATGTATGCTGTTATTATAAGCACTAGCAATTTTGGGTAAGTTCTCATCCCAATCAATCTGATCAGGTCGGACATACATTCGCAAAAGTTGTTGGCATCGACGATTCATTTGCTCAGTTTGACCATTGGTTTCAGGATGTCTGCTTGACGACATGGTCAACCTGGTGCCATAGACTTCCATCAACTTCTGCCATTGTAGACTAGTGAACCGAACATCTCTGTCAGAGACAATGATTTTCGAAAATCCATACTCGGAAACCCATCGCATCTGAAATTTTTGAATCACTAGTTCGGTTCTAACTTCAGCGGGCAAAATAATGAACATAGCATACTTAGAGAATCTACCGGCGATGACCATTACTTGACTATTGCCGTTTCTACTCTTAGTGAGGTTCATGAAGTCAATAGAGATAGACTCACCTGGCTCACTTGGAATAGGCAGTGGTCTCAGTAGTCCCATCGGATTCTCATGTGAGGGTTTGTTCCTCTGACAGATAAGACAAGTCCGCATATAGGTTAATACATCTTCCTTCATTCCTTTCCATTCAAAACGTTCTCGTACATCGACATACGTCTTCTTAAAACCAAAGTGTCCCTCTGCATCATGGCATTCCCCTATGATTAAGCTCTTAATTGGTTCTTGGTGAGGAATATAAAGTCTTTCTTCGGTTTTGTCTATAAAGAAGAGTAAGTCATCAGTCATTCGATACTCTGAGAATAGTTCAGGGTTCTTTCTTAAGGTACCAATGATATCGAGATAGAAGACTATTGTACCAAAGAAGTTTGTACGCCTGGACAAAGCATCCGCAACCACGTTAGACTTTCCTTTGATGGTTTTCACCTCAAAGTCAAACGTGTCAAGGAATGCGGACCATCTTACCAACTTGTCAGAGAGTCGAGGATAAGTCTTGATCCACTCCAAAAGTAGAGTGATTAGAGTAGACAGTGAAATGCCTTCCCAACAAGTAGTGTTTCCAGGTATCTAGTGTAGCGACTAAGGCATACAACTCCGTTTTATATGTGGAGTTGGCGACTTTCTCTGACGAAAGTCTTATGGACATAAACTCAATAGGTCTATATCCCTTACCGTCATCCTGCTGAAGCACAGCGCCAATCCCATACTGACTTGCGTTAGTTGTGACGATGAAAGGAAGAGAAGGGTCAACAATCTTTAAGACAGGGTAACGAGTCAAAACCAATTTCAATTTTCTGAACGACGACTCACAATCTTTGTCCCACAACCAAGGTTTTTCTTTCTTTAGCGGTCTTCTCATAGGAGCTGCTATCAAGGAGAAGTTCCTGATGAACTTCCTGTAATAACTAGCAAGTCCTAGGAAAGATCTGAGTTCAGTTATAGTTTTAGGTTGTGGCCAATCTCGGATTGCTGTAATCTTCTTTTCTTCTGGTCTTCGTCCTTCGTCATTCACTATATGCCCTAAGTATAGTACTTCAGGCTTAGCAAATTCAGACTTCTTAGGATTCAGTTTGAAGTTACCCTCACGTAACTTCTGGAGAACCATTCGCAGATGTTTCTCGTGGTCTTTCAGTGTTTTACTGTACACCAGGATATCATCGAGATAGACAATTACGAATTGATCCAACCATGGACGAAACAACTCATTCATAGACCTCTGGAAGGTTGCAGGGGCGTTAGTCAGACCAAAAGGCATTACCACAAACTCGTAGTGACCATACCTTGTTCGAAACGTCGTCTTATTGTGATCTTCAGGAGCCACCTCAATCTGGTGGTACCATGACTTGAGATCAATCTTGCTGAAGTACCTGCATCCCTGTAGTTGGTCTAACAGATCGTCAATGCGCGGAAGGGGTTCCGTGTTTTTCACAGTGACAGAATTCAGCCCACGATAATCAATACACAAGCGAAGTTCACCTTCCTTTTCGGGCACAAACAAGATTGGTGCACCATAAGGAGTTGAGCTAGGGCGAATCCATCCCTTGTCAGTAAGTTCCTGTAGCTGTTTTCGTAATTCCTCAAGTTCCCTGGGAGACATGCGATAAATGGGACCCTTGGGAATTTTGCTTCCGGGAATGATCTCGATTGTGTGCTTAATAACACGCTCAATGATTCCCGTCGGCTCAGTCTGCAAGTCCTTATACTCGTCAAGAAGTTTTTCAATAGAAGGTGGGTAGGATGAAGAACACTCACCTACTTGTTTGACAAGCACCATCATCACCTCCTGATCTAACTTCTTCTTAACAACCATTGATCGAAAAGCTGGATAACTCATACACCAGAAAGACAGAGTAGAGTAAGAGCCAGACTTATGATACAACTTTATTACGCGCAGTTCGGAATTTTCGTCCTTGAGTTTGACAATCTTATCTTTGAACTTAATTTCTGGGTCGGCTTCCTCATGCCAATCCATACCCAGAATTAAGTCAAAGGGTAAATTCTTCTCTATCAGGAAGGATACCTCGTGTAAAATTTTCTTACCTTTCGTGGTTGTGAAATAACACTTAACACAATCGACGTATTGAGAGACAGTGATCGTGCTCTTGTCAGCCAGTATAGACGTAATAGGTCTAGGTAAATCTTTTACCTTCATTCCCAGATGCGACTTTCGAATTGCCTTCTCTGAGATATAAGACCGCGTCGATCCCGGATCTAACAGGGCACCTACTCGCGTGTGCGCAATCTCAACATCCGCGATCATTAACTCACCCTTAGATTTTACTTTCGTCGCCCACGAACTCCTTAGTGCGATTAGTTCATTACCGAGTTCGTCAAGGGAATCGTTCAGCGAGACAGAACAAAGGACTTCGTCAGGGTGGTCTGGACGACGGGCGGAAGAAGAGTCATCCTCTGCCTTGAGAGTCGAAAGGGTAGAAGGGTTTGTAGGCGGCTTACCTTTTTCTTCGTCTATACCCTTTGACTCAGTAGGAGCAGATGCTACTCTTACTGGCTGCTCACTTTTGGGTTACGAATAAGCGGGCACCAGGCTATCACATGCCCCACGGTGCCACACTTGAGGCACTGGCGATTGTCCATCTTGGACCGCCATTCCTCTCGGGTCATATTCATTTTCTCCCAAGGTCTCCCGAACGCAATGCCGGGATGCTCGGGAAACGAGCGTGGCCTCTTCTTCTTCTTCGACTGACTTTGGCCTCCCTTGTTGACCATTACGGCAGTGACATCACCCTTCTCAGAATCACTGTCGCCGTTACCTCCTCCTCCCTCAGTCTCACCAAGAGGTAACTTCTCTACTGTTTCATCGTCAAATAACACAAGCATATGGTCCTGACGCTTTTGCCGCCAGAGGACCCGCTTGCCGTACCCACCAACCGGTCCCGTCTTAACTACTGAAGCGTACGTACCTTTGACCTGTGCGGTCATTTGCTCTCTCTGAAGAGCAAGGTCCCGAAACTGCCGATAATTATACTTACCAGACTTTGCTTCGGCCACGAGCTGTCCACGAATGGGCTCGGGCAATGCACGTGAGTAGATTGAAAGAACCTGGTTGTCCTGAACGTTCAGTCCAGGTACCTGCAAGAGACGATCCACTTCACGAGACAAGGCATCGACAGACGTCCAACGTTTCTGGCCTATCGTGGTGAGCTCGTCGAAGGCCTTGTCGGCCGTTGTTTTATCCAGGAACCTCTCCTTAATCTTCTGGAGAAATTGCCTGAGAGTAAGGGTCTTGCCCACTCACCAATATCTTCGAAGCCAGCAGCATTGGCCTCTGCCATCACCCATTCTTTGGCCACTCCCCCCAGACAAGGCGTGGAGAAAGCAACCTGACTCTCGGGTTCCACGGGTGCGGTACTACAATAAGTCTGGATTTCGGCAATCCACAACAACAAGTTTCCCTCTTTCTTGTTGCTGTAGGTGAAAGGCAACTTCATTTTCACCTTCTCTTTCTTCTTGTTTTTTTCCGCTTCTTTTGCCGGTTCTTCTTTCTTTCCGGTGGGTTCTTCTTTCTTTTCATCCGGGTTCTCGGGTTCTTTCTTAGAACCTTCGGGTTTCTCGGGCGTGACCCGTTTCCTTGCATCCTTCATTAGTTTCTCCTGGGGTTTCTTATCTTTTTCCCCCTTGGCCACCTCCTCATACACCACCTTGTCTTTCCCTTTCAACATTCTGGTCATGGACTCAACTGCGGCGATGTTCTTATCAATCTTCTTTTCAAGATGCATGAGGTAGACCATGATAGACTGGAGAATAGATGCAACCTCACTTCCTGCTTCTTCGTAGTGAAACCTTTGCCTCAACTCTTCCATTACTTTCTCTTCTTCTTCTTCTTGTTCTTTCAATCTCCTATACTCGTCAATCTTTCTTTTCTCTTCTTTCAGTGTGTTTTCGAGTTGTCCGATGTTTTCCTCCATCAATTCCACAGACACTTGTGGTTATTTTCTTCCAACCCTCTCTTTTTCTTTCCCATTTCTTTTCTGGTCTAGCTTTTCAAGGCTCTCAGCGACGTACCGATCAAGGACCAGTCGTCCTTGTTTTATGAGGTTTTCTACCTTCTTGCATGTCTCCATCATCTGAACAGCGGTTTCAGCGGCCTGCAGGTCTCCCTCTGCATCACGCAGATTGACCTGTCCGTGAACATGCTGTTCAGCCTCCGGACCGGCACCATGTATTTCACCGAGCAGCTGGCGGAGGAGACCCAACAAAGTCTGTCTCATTCCATCAATCTAACCGCGAGTTTTCAGTTCCACTCCCTCTTCATCGGCAAAGACTGTGAGAGGGATGGAAAAGAAAAAGAGCGGTATGAACCGGGTCAAGATAGAGGCACGCAAACACTTCCAAAGAGAGTTCATTCTGCCAAGCATGCAAATGCCGCACAATAAATAAAATTAAAGACAAAAATAAATTCCACGACGCACGCTACACTTACAACAAGAATTGTTGAAGGCAAATACAAAGAAACAAATATTATCAATTTTCTAGCTGTCTGTTTTTCCTAATCTATGTGTGATGACGTTCTACCGTATGTGTACAGGTACCGCAGCCACGGCCAGTGTGATCAAGACATCAACACACAGGTGAGTATGCACGGACACCACARAACAGCCAATAGGTAAGTAAGAAACCAACACAACAATCACAAACAATTGTCAGCCTCCTCTCTCTATAGCTGTACTGTCTGCAGCGACCAACAYACTCGACAACTCACCCAACACATGCCAYGTGTCACCCYTGGCATGCCAACACAGCAGCTCGTTGGAGTCTGCCACGTCAGCACATCAAGAACCCGGAGGTATACAAGGGGGATGCCACGTCAGCAATGTGTGCCTGTCACACACATACACTGGCATACCACGTCAATGCCCAATCAGCAGGTAATCACGACATAGATTCATGCCACGTCAGACCATATCCTGCCAAAATACCACATAACAATGTGCCACATCAGCGGTACCAATGCCACGTCAGCCTGTTGCCAATGCAGCTCTTCAAGCTTCATAGTGCAAGGAAGATGAGCAATAGCGAACTTCGACAATCAAACAACATCATGCATATGAGTCCAGATAGTCTTGATCTCGAACCAACAGCAGCATTGCATCACGAGATTCACCAAATAAGAACACACCAAGAGTTCATAATTGACAATGCTGAAATAGTCTCATCATCATC